TGCCCCTTACATTGGGAGTCCAGTGGGAAGAATGCCCTTACAATGGTGGTCAGTGGGAAGGAAGATGTTCCTTACATTGTGGTCAGTGGAAGAATGTCCCCTAAAACATTGGGAGTCAGTGGGAAGAATGCCCCTTAACATTGGTGGTCAGTGGGAAGAATGCCCCTTACATTGGTGGTCAGCGGGAAGAATGTTCCTTACATTGGTGGTCAGTGGGAAGAATGCCCCTTACATTGGTGATCAGTGGGAAGAATGTCCTTACATTGGTGGTCAGTGGGAAGAATGCCCCTTACATTGGGGTCAGTGGGAAGGAATGCCCCTTACATTGGGGGTCAGTGGAAGAAGAATGTCCCTTACATTGGTGGTCAGTGGGGAAGAAATGCCCCTTACATTGGGGGTCAGTAGGGAAGAATGCCCCTTACAATTGGGGGGTCAGTGGGAAGAATGTCCCTTACATTGGTGGTCAGTGGGAAGAATGTCCCTTACATCGAGGTCAGTGGGAAGGACTGAAGCTTACATTGGTGTCCTTGGAAAAACTCCCTCCCTTACAGATATCTAAAAATATCATTGATGTCAGTGGTTACTCGTAGCTCAAAGAACCCCTCACAACCTCTTGGAGAACCCTCATGTTTTCACAGAACCCTGGTTGAGAAAGAGCGCTGTAGATATTTGTCTATAGAAGACTTTGTTTTTTTGTGGGACAAAACCTACAAGACGTCGCCTTGAAGTTCATAGACATCTATTACAGTATAGAGGAAGAGCCCATCCTTGGAGATTTCAGCTGACACAGAGGAATAAAGAAAAATACTCTTCTCTTTCTTTCTTCTTACACAAAACCGAACAAGGATGTATAAATACGGGAGAAACAACTGCTGTGTAAATCCTCTGATACCTTCTACATATGCAGGAGGCTTTATTTCTCTATGTATGGTAAAGACGGCCTTGTTTGAAGCCTGTCTGTACATTCATACAGATAATGCAGACATTTGCATTCGCGGCACACCATTTCCCGGGAACAGAGCTCATTCCTCAACACTTCAGAGTAACAATCATCCCAAATCTTCCAATAAAAAAGCCGGAAATGCGGCCGCTCTGTGTGTGGTAAGTGGCGTTCAGCAATGTGTACTTTGATCACAACAATTCCTGTCTTGGCCTTTCCCGTGTCTACAAATTTCAGCAACAAACGCAAAGCTTTTCTCCATCCCGTCACATCATTTCACTGACAAATGTATTGTAAGCTCGAAAGAGTAGGGCCCTCTTACCCCTCGTGTGCTGTTCGTAGTTGCTGTAATGTTTCATGTATTGTCCCCCCCTCTATTGTACAGCGCTGAGCAAACCCTTTGGCGCTATATAAACCCGATGTAATGTAATGTAATAATGTAATGTATGCAATGGACTACCCAACAGCCAACTGGGAGTAAAAGGGATGTTTGTCCAACCTGGTGGACCTGTCATCAGAAATGGTATGGAAAGCATGCTCAGTAATGTGTCAGGGTAACACTTCTAGGTATTTATTACCTGTCACAAACTTCACAGTACCTCCCCCCCCCCCCCCCAGGAGCGTATTTACCACAAGGCAAACAAGGCATTTGCCTAGGGCAGTGATGGCGAAACCGTGGCACGCGTGCCACAGCCGGCACGCCGAGCCTTATCTGTGGGCACGCCAGGAGAATCCAGCGGCGCGCTGTCTTCCCGGCTGTAGTGTGCGTGACAGCCGGGTCCCAAGTGCGCATGCACAAGAAGCAGTGCTCTTTGTGAATGGTAAGGCGGTACCTGGGACACATGACAGATCCCAGAAGCCGCCGGACCAATCACAAAGCGCAGCGCTTCTCGCGCATGCGCACTGGGCATCCGGCTGTCCGACGAGCGCCCACACTACAGAAGCCGGGAAGACAGTGCGCTGCTGGATAAAGGAACAGGTAAGATAAAAAAAAAAACTCTGCGGAAGTAAGAGCGGGTACCTGTCAAATTCAGGTACCCGCTCCCCCTCCCTCCCCAAAGGTCAGCAGTCATCTGTACTGTCCGCAGTTTCTGGTCATCTCCTGTACTGTGTCCGCAGTCTCTGGTCATCTCCTGTACTGTGTCCGCAGTCTCTGGTCATCCCCTGTACTGTCCGCAGTCTCTGGTCATCCCTGAACTGTGTCCGCAGTCTCTGGTCATCCCTGTGCTGTGTCCGCAGTCTCTGGTCATCTCCTGTACTTTCCACAGTCTCTGGTCATCCCTGTACTGTCCGCGCAGTCTCTGGTCATCTCCTGTACTGTCCGCAGTCTCTGGTCATCCCTGTACTGTCCGCAGTCTCTGGTCATCTCCTGTACTGTGTCCGCAGTCTCTGGTCATCCCTGTACTGTCCGCAGTCTCTGGTCATCCCTGTACTGTCCGCAGTCTCTGGTCATCTCCTGTACTGTGTCCGCAGTCTCTGGTCATCCCTGTACTGTCCGCAGTCTCTGGTCATCCCTGTACTGTCCGCAGTCTCTGGTCATCTCCTGTACTGTGTACGCAGTCTCTGGTCATCTCCTGTACTGTCCGCAGTCTCTGGTCATCTCCTGTACTGTCCGCAGTCTCTGGTCATCCCTGTACTGTGTCCGCAGTCTCTGGTCATCTCCTGTACTGTGTCCGCAGTCTCTGGTCATCCCTGTACTGTGTCCGCAGTCTCTGGTCATCCCTGTACTGTCCGCAGTCTCTGGTCATCCCTGTACTGTGTCTGCAGTCTCTGGTCATCCCTGTACTGTGTCTGCAGTCTCCTGGTCATCCCTGTACTGTGTCCGCAGTCTCTGGTCATCTCCTGTACTGTGTCCGCAGTCTCTGGTCATCCCCTGTACTGTCCGCAGTCTCTGGTCATCCCTGTACTGTCCGCAGTCTCTGGTCATCTCCTGTACTGTTCGCTAGTCTCTGGTCATCTCCTGTACTGTGTCCGCAGTCTCTGGTCATCCCTGTACTGTCCGCAGTCTCTGGTCATCCCTGTACTGTGTCCGCAGTCTCTGGTCATCCCTGTACTGTCCCTGCAGTCTCTGGTCATCCCTGTACTGTGTCCGCAGTCTCTGGTCATCCCTGTACTGTCCGCAGTCTCTGGTCATCTCCTGTACTGTGTCCGCAGTCTCTGGTCATCCCTGTACTGTCCGCAGTCTCTGGTCATCTCCTGTACTGTGTCCACAGTCTCTGGTCATCCCTGTACTGTGTCTGCAGTCTCTGGTCATCCCTGTACTGTGTCCGCAGTCTCTGGTCATCCCTGTACTGTCCGCAGTCTCTGGTCATCCCTGTACTGTCCGCAGTCTCTGGTCATCTCCTGTACTGTTCGCAGTCTCTGGTCATCTCCTGTACTGTGTCCGCAGTCTCTGGTCATCTCCTGTACTGTGTCCGCAGTCTCTGGTCATCCCTGTACTGTCCGCAGTCTCTGGTCATCCCTGTACTGTGTCCGCAGTCTCTGGTCATCCCTGTACTGTCCCTGCAGTCTCTGGTCATCCCTGTACTGTCCGCAGTCTCTGGTCATCTCCTGTACTGTTCGCAGTCTCTGGTCATCTCCTGTACTGTGTCTGCAGTCTCTGGTCATCCCTGTACTGTGTCCGCAGTCTCTGGTCATCCCTGTACTGTGTCCGCAGTCTCTGGTCATCCCTGTACTGTGTCTGCAGTCTCTGGTCACCCCCTGTACTGTGTCCGCAGTCTCTGGTCATCTCCTGTACTGTCTGCAGTCTCTGGTCATCTCCTGTACTGTGTCTGCAGTCTCTGGTCATCTCCTGTACTGTGTCCGCAGTCTCTGGTCATCTCCTGTACTGTGTCCGCAGTCTCTGGTCATCCCTGTACTGTCCGCAGTCTCTGGTCATCCCTGTACTGTGTCCGCAGTCTCTGGTCATCTCCTGTACTGTGTCCGCAGTCTCTGGTCATCCCTGTACTGTGTCCATAGTCTCTGGTCATCCCTGTACTGTGTCCGCAGTCTCTGGTCATCTCCTGTACTGTGTCCGCAGTCTCTGGTCATCTCCTGTACTGTGTCCGCGCAGTCTCTGGTCATCTCCTGTACTGTGTCCGCAGTCTCTGGTCATCCCCTGTACTGTCCGCAGTCTCTGGTCATCTCCTGTACTGTGTCCGCAGTCTCTGGTCATCTCCTGTACTGTGTCCGCAGTCTCTGGTCATCTCCTGTACTATGTCCGCAGTCTCTGGTCATCTCCTGTACTGTGTCCGCAGTCTCTGGTCATCTCCTGTACTGTGTCCGCAGTCTCTGGTCATCCCCTGTACTGTGTCCGCAGTCTCTGGTCATCCCTGTACTGTTAATTAGTTTGCACTACTGTACGAGTTGTTTTTTCTAAACCAAAAGCTCGATATTCAGGTTTCATTGCAGTGTTGGCACTTTGAAAGAAATAAGTTGGTTTTGGGTTGCAGTTTGGGCACTCGGGCTCAAAAAGGTTCGCCATCACTGGCCTAGGGTGTCATTTTTCAGGGGGGCAGCACCACCCCCCTGGAAGAAGGGACACTTGTGGCATGGGGACCAGGTGGGTACCAAGAGAGGCTGTGGGCTGCTTGATGTGTATGCAGAACCCGACTCTTGTTCCCAGGGAAGAATCAAAGTTGTGAAGGTGACTGTCTTCCTCTCTTTCGCTGGGGAGGGGGGGGGGGGGAGGGGGGGGGGGGGAGATGTGTGTTGGGGGGGGGAATGTGTGTTAGTGGAAAGCTGTCTCCGGGGAAGGGGGGGGTTTGTGGGGCGTCCGATTTTTGTGTTGCCTAGGGTAGCACAGAACTAAAATACACCACTGCCCCCCCCCCCAAAATGATTTAATGGGTTCAATCCACATCTGTGCTTCATTAACTTCCCTGGCGGTCTAACTAATCAATCATATTTTTGAATGTCAAAGCGGTACTTTTGCTTTGCATGGAAATTTGTTGTTTTTTATTGTAGGCTGTAATTTTTAGGAATAACTCACTGAAATCTGTCCGAACAAGAGTCTAGTAAAACATCCCGGGGAGGATAAAACTTGAAACACAAAATCATATAATATAATAAATAATTATACAAATTAATAATAATAAATGTAATTCAATAATATAATCAAACCAAAAACACTGAAATGTGAAATATAGCGCCAAGTTCGCACATCGCTGAGCTCAGTCGCAGAATCGTTTTCAGTGTCTGATGAGGAATTTCCCCCACCAATCATTATCACTCAATTCTGCAAGTGGTTCTGATTTACTATCGCTGTTCTCTAGCCGGTCTAAAACCGCGTCTGACCTAAAGGGACGCTTTTTGGACGCCATGGACGTTTCTCAGTTTCCAGGCAGAAAGAACAGTAAAAATGCAGGCAGGGGCGCCGGACAAAGCACTCGGGACACAATGTATGTGAAATGTAATACTAACAGATTACAATGTATTGTGTGTTTGTCACGTTTTAACTTTTTTTTTAATCTCCCGCCGGTTCCGCCCCCCTGCATACCGACGCTCGCAGGGAAGGGAACCCGGAAGACGGATGCTGGCATCAGCCGGAGGACACTGCAGGAGGAC